GAAAGAACAATGAACCAAAAGCAAAGAAAAGAAAAGGTTGATTATTCATTACACAAATCTTCGTACTTGATCAAGGTTTTTTTTTGTCATGAAAACAAATTTAGTCTCGTTAAAAAATCTTTTTTCTTTATTTTGTTGTTGCTCAAAATAAAGATATTTTCTCTGTTGATTTGTAAGGATAATTTTTTTTGCTTGATAAAGAAAGATGTGATTTTTGGTTAAAATTGTTTGTTGTTGTTAATAAATGAATGTGTAGCCAAATCGAAAATTTCATGTGATGATGAACAAAAGACAGGATGAAGAAAAGCTGTCTTATTATTATGAAAAAAATTTCTATATGATTGGTATGTCTTCATTTTTAAGTTGACATTTTCAACTAGATTTAATATATCAAAGTTCAAATGATTATTTAAATAACATACTTGAAGACAAAATTTAAAGAAATATTTATTATGAATAAGATCACTTTAGTTTCAATTTCAATTATCGGTTTGAGATTGGTCAGAATTAGTTGGACTTAAAAATGGTTCGGCTTCGAATTGAAATTAGTTGGAATTGATTTTTGTAGAATTACTAAATTTGCACATATTGAGATAAATTGTCAGTGAGTTACTAATTGTTCTAAGATTGATTCCAAGCAATTCTAAGAATTGGAATTGATGCGCCCTTAAATACCAAAAAATTTTTTTAAATTTAAATTTCTTTTAGAATTAATTGAAAACAAAAAAAGCAAATAACAATGGATGTTTAAGTAATATATATTCAGCTGCCGACTTTGCCCAATTTCGGTCGGAACTGGATAAATCTGGCCACCAAATCCATTTACCGGATTCCTGCTTTAAAGTTTTTACCATTTGTTGGTCGGAGTCGGTCGTATCTCATTCACCTGGGACTTGGACACTATTAGTCAATTAAAATGAAATTTATCTTGTATGTTGATTAACAAAAATGAAAATATTAAATATTTAGGAATTTCTTTGAGAATGAAATAAATTTATATGAAAATATAACAAAATATGATGAACGATTCTCAACAATAAATGAAAAACGAACAAGATTAAATTGATCAACCTCAATAATAAATCAAATAAATGAAAGCGCAAATGAATTATTATTAAATAAAAATTTTATTTTGATTTAAACAAGTTAGATCGTATGTTTATTTTTACCTAAAAAGAACTTGAATTTTCTGTCGAGTAATATCCTTCGTTAATATTTATTAATTGATTCTCACCATTTAATAAATGACACTAAAATATCTGTTCATACAAATCTTCAAGAACACATTCAATTGACAACAATTAATTTAAGATTCAATCTGCTATTTGTATTGCTTTTGCATAGATATGAAATGTGAAGAAGAATTTTGACAATAATTTTATATCAATTCTCTCAACTGCATCAAATCCTAGTTTTAAGAAACTTATATATTTGGTGAAAGAAAATAAAGAGTGTAGGTTTTTATGCAACATTTTGCGACTTTCTCTACCCCTATTAACATATCAACTAAGGCTAAAGATCAACGGTACACTTCCCAAACAATATAGGATATCTGACGGTACGTTTCTGAAGTAACGAGAAAATGTGTTTTAGTAATTGTAACGCTTATTGCATTCTAGAACATCCTAGAACCTTTCAAAAGACTAAAAATGACATTCCTAGTAAAATGTCTGACTTTTCTAAATATTGTAGGTTTTGACTTTATATGCAGAGCATAATCTTATTATAGATGTGAACGAGTATGGTTAGCCGTATCGATATAGCAGAATCAGAATACAATCTTCATAGAAAAGTACCAACTATTTAAATTGTAACTCTAAACAACACTCAATATGAGTGTATCGAAAGTTTTCGAGATGATGGAAATCGCACGTTGAACACATTTTGGCCCCGCATAGAGTCGAACTGAGAAGTTTGTTTTTTGATGAAGGCGAAGATATTTTTCGAAAATAATGGTCTTTTATAAAAGTTAACTAAAGATTTTCAGTGATGAGAAAATTGGATGAATAGGCGAGATGTTAAAAGTCTTGAGTTCGATTTTTTCGGCTAGTGGTGGCGTTTTTAAAGAAAGTAAATCAATTTTATAGAATTTGGCTGAATCACAGGCGATAGACTTTCTCCAAACGAAAAAATCAAACTGAGGAACTCTGATAAACCATCTAGAGTTCTGGATTTCTTGACTTCAAAAACTGTTTGTTAAGTTTTATAAGAACTTATTATTTTTCAAAAAATATTCTTGTCTTCATCGAAAATATCGAACTGGCATAGTATGACTCCCACAAATGACTATTATCTTAATTCTATTGTAATTTTCAAAAAAACTGTATGAGTACTATAATATGTGTTAAACATTTCAGCACTTTTTCGGTATAATGCCCTATAATTTGGTATAAATTTAGAGGGAAGAGCAGTAGGAAAAATATATTTAAAAAAAAAGGAGAGAATTGCTGTAAAAAACATTTATTTCTATCAGAAATTTACAAAATATTTCTCAAGCTTTCGCACTTTTCTGATTACATCTTCAGAAGTTACATTGTGCTCAAAGTGAACAGGAATATACAAAAAATAAATATATAAATAAATTAACAAGTACATAGAATTACAAATATTTAATTAATAAATAAATAAATAATTTAGAACATTGGTGTTGCTATTGGTGCCGTTGTTGTGGTTTTAAATGTTAGTATGAGGAGGATCAACCGATTAAAACGGATTTGTTCCCACATTACTGACGTATGAAATCGACAACAGTAAATAATCTAATCAGGTAATCAAAAAATAATTATCAATTTCTTTATGATTTTGAAGAATCATAATCTTGGATAATGCATTGATATTCGAACTTAAGTTCTGTGTACTCAATAAAGTTAGAGAATATTATTTGTGTAATCTTTATATAAGCATAAGTTCATGCTTTTTATAATATTGACAGATATTAATATTGTGTGATTTCTATTGATCACTTGTTTATTATGAAGAGGGGCAACTTTTATCAACGCGTAATTTTCTTTGTTGGTTAAATATCATTCGTATTGTATAGAGATAGATTTGTTGTATATATCGCATCAAAATAATGTAAGTATGGTTTTGTTCTGTATCAAGTTGAAATCTATTAATATGCTACAACAATTAAACTTTTCTACATTATGTATAATATATTAATGTAAGTTCATATATCAAGCCATCTTGAAAGAAATCAGTATTGTATAATAAGTATCAAAAATATATGTTAGAAGTTATTAGTAAAATTAAAATCTATTGTTGTTTTATGATGAGTAATTAATCCATTCGATGACGACAATATTGTATGTATTAACACAAATGAAACTTAATAAATTATTATAAGATGATGTTAAATATGAGTCTATATTTCTGTGTAAGTTGGTATCGTCAATACCATATTTCCCTTTTTTTCCCTTCCTCCTTCTTTCTTCCCCTTTTCTACTATAACGTTTAAAATATTAAATCAGTTGAAATCAGTACAAATGAACTCTTGATTATCTATAATAGATCTTTATTTTTCTGATATAATATTTATTGAGTTGAGACTAATAGATATACGCATATTAAATTTACGTTCTAATGTTTAACTAATAAGACTAAATAATATGAATTCTTTCGTAAGAAGGTGTTTCTTGATCTGCTGTATTATTATTATTATTATTATTATTGTTTGATGGTGTTTTCAGTAAAAGTGTTGTTAATTCAGATGGAATAATAAGATCATCAAGTGGAGTTAAAGAATTTAATTCTTTTTTAAGATCATCTGTATGACGTATAAGTGCAGCAACACGTTGACTTATTGATGAACAAATACGTTTTTTTGTCGATGATGTTTTTTGTAATTCACGTATCCATGATTCACATTGATCGATTATTTCATTTCGTTTTAAAAAGAAATGCCGCCATATGACATCGGCAAAATATACAGGAGGATTTCGTAATTATGTTTTTTTTGCATAATATTAATTTTTTATAATAGATTATTCTTTCACAATATAATATATAATGAATTGAGATTAATAAACATAAGCATTTTAGAAATATAAGTTATTGTCTTTGAATGATAAAGTTAAATAACATGAGTTATTGCATAATAAGTGATAATTTTATACAATGATAAAGATATATAATGTGTTGAAATTAATATAGATGAACATTAAAGTATAATTTTGTTCTTTCAGATAAAATTAAATTTGAATAACATTAATTTTGTATAATTAACTATTATTTAACGATATAATATATAATCAATTGGGATTAATAAATATAAGCATTTTAAAAAATATAAGTTGTTATCAGTGAATAATAAAATAAAATAACATGAATTATTGCATAACAAGTAATAATTTTATACGATGATAAAGATATATCTTAAGTTGAAATTCATGTAGATGAACATTTAGATATAATTTTGTTGTTTGAAATAGAATAAAATATTTTTGAATAGTATTGATTTTGTATAATATATTATTATTTGACTACATAATATATAATAAATTGAGATTAGTAAACATAAGCATTTTTAAAATATAAGTTGTTGTCTTTGAATAATAAAATAAAATAAAATAACATGAATTATTGGATAATGAGTGATAATTTTATAAGATGATAAAGATATAACGTAAGTTGAAACTAATATAGGGGCTATTCCGTGGAGTTTCGACCACAAAAAACACAAGTATCTTAGAATAAATCGAAATCCATTCCACTTTGTAGACATCAACAAGCTACACCCACAGCAAAAAGAAGAAAAAATCAGCCTCGAACACCCCCCCCCCCGCGAACACGGAGGAGATACGGGGTCCAAAATCCCAGCTGGAGAATGCATTAAATGGAAAGAAAAGCAAAAAATTTTTTTTTCTCAAAACCCCCTACATTCCCTTTGTCGTCCCCTCTCGATACCGAACAAGCGAAAACCAACAACAACTACACACCTCTGCTCTCCATGATCCGGTACATTCGCCTACATACCATCACCCGTACCTCATAAATCCAAGAAAAACTTCCCTGGAAGCACCCCCCCCCCCCCCCCCACCAGAAGGAGGGCGGCCAAGCCC